AACCTTGACACTCTAAATAAGATAGGCATCCGCAGAAAAAGCTGATAAAAATGCCAACAGTGGCAACATTGCTGATTCTCTGCTTCTTAGCAGAGAGCTAATAGCAACGTGTCCATTCTACTTTCTGTTTGAAATATGGATAGAAACACCCCTTGCGCTCCAAACTTTTGCCACCCTGCCTACTTAGTCATAATCCTTCAGTATTTTTTTCAAGCTCATTTTGGCATTGGCATTGGCTCTGATATGAAATAGAAATAAGGGGTAGTGATTTTCTACTAGCTTCCTACCTTTAACTGGTTGAATTGTGACAGGCCTGTCTTAGGACTCCTTATCTTTGCTATATCTAGTTGTTCTCTTCTGCTCTTTCCTGCATGATACCTACAAAGCATGGCAGAAATTCAACAGCTCTGAAATAGAGAAATTCTTGCTCTTCTCAGAAAAATGACACATCAATAGATTGATATTACTTTAGAAACATCTGAGAATAAAGATACTGAATCTACTACAATAATAATGCTTGACAAAACTTAAACAGTCTGATTATAAGGCTATGAAGGTTTATAAACATGTTGTAATATCATCTTTTATTTCTTTTATATCTACAGTTCAGAAGAGGAAGAGGGGGAGGAAGATAAAGATGAAGAAGACTCATAGTTCTGCATGAGTTAAATAAAAGAAAAATCTATTATTAAATACCTTATTTCTCCTGCACCTTTTTTACTGTTATTCTTACCCTGAGGCTTAAAAACATTTCAGAATAGCTATTCTCCCATCTAGACCAACTGCAATTATATTGGGCGAAGGTTATTATCATCCTTGGCTCTAGTGGCTACCAATGATAAAATCTATAGGTTTGCTGGTGCCAGACGTTTTAAAAATGTATGGAACATTCACATGACATTTGTATAATGATAAAATTATCCTCATATTTATTTATATTTTTGAGTTTCAAAAGATTTCTTGGAGTGGATTTAAATCATTATATACAGAAAATTCACCAAAAGAACATTTGTCAAAATATTAAAATCCTCTCACATTAGTATTAGTGTTAATAAGGAAATACAGATGTTTTGTTAATAATATAAGAAAAAATGGAATTTGTACAGTGGTTTGTTTCATACCGTTTGAACTAGCTTAACTGAGCAGCAATGTTTCCTTAGGCCACAATAGTTATATATCTGAAACCATAACATTCCTACATTTATTATAACTACATACTCAAGTTTTTGTTCATATATTGATCCTAGCACAACTTATTCAAGTCTACATTAATATCTTGATGGAATTAAAATCCAAGGAGCAATTTTACCAGGACAGAAATGAGATTAATTGGGAACATACCAAAAAAAAATTCAAGAGGAAGAATTGCACCATCAATTATAAATTAAAGAACCACTAGAATTGTCTCTATCAAACGGTTGATGTTTACTACACTAGTGCTACCTTGATACAGAAATTTTATTTTAAAATTAAAATATGAATTTTGAAGCACATGCTTTTGTTCCTATACAAGCTCTTATAAACATTTGAAGTTACTTGAGAATTTCCCCACTTATGCTTATATTTTGACATCTTCAACTACTTTTCAAATTGAAAAAAAAATCAAATGGACATTGAATATACCCAATATTAGTTGTGCTATCAAAGCATTCCATTGATTTTATTATAACATGTCCCTTGTATTGGACACAGTTGCTTCTTTCACAAGTGAGGCAAGAACATTGTTATATCTGTCCAGTACCATCTGAGCGGAAGGTCTTTCAGCTGCATTCTTTTTACATGCTTCATGTATACTGAATAAATGAAATCTGACAAGATCACTCCCATCGACATCTCCCAGAAGAAAGTTTGAAACATCAGGGATTTTCCATATGTCTATCATTTCATTATAGGCAGGCATGAGCTGGTCGTCAAAAGGTACTTCTTTTCCATATGGCCAAAGCTGCTCAGGAGCAACCCATTCACCGTCCAATTCCCGATGACCACACTTGATCAATTCACCAGCCCTCTTATTCAAGAGGGGCAAGGCATCCAAGTCATTCACAACCACATGAAAGCTGGTAGTCAATAAGTATTGTGACAGTGTTTTATTTAGATCACTGGAGTCGCACATAACAAAAGTGCCAAGGGGGTTGTTGTGTAAAAAATGGATGATGCTCACATAGCCTATGGCAAGCAGAAACCTGTTATGCCATGTATTATAATTTTTGTATTTTGGAAGGTTCAATATCTCATTAACATTTTTCAAGGATCCAAATGGGTGATACTCCGTAAGAATCATGAACTCCTCTTCACAATATCCAAGGAGTTTGACCACATGCTTGCTTTGTAACTTTTTTAGTGTCTGAAGCCCATAAATAAAGTCGTCTTGTAGCTCTGGCACAGTTAGCTGGGAAAGTGCCACTTTATTTTCTTTCCATTCAGAAAGAAAGACCTAGAAAGAAAGGTGGGGGGAGAGAAACATGCATGTGTATCTCACATAGAGCCACTGATGTTCATTATCATTTAAACGTGCTATTCATTTTATGAGCACACCCTTACTAAGCATTCAGTTATAACAAAGGCCACTATATTTCAGTATTTCAAAACAGATCATGCATGATAGAAAACTAGTCAGCAGCATTTAAGTAATCCTTGGGTCACTTACAAAGGTGGGTTAAATCCATCTATAATCATATCTATAAACTGAAATATTTTCTATAAATGAACGAGAATATTTTTATTGTAATACATATACTTACATCTATTCCCAGCTTTTATTCTACAGATATCGGTATATATTAAAGTATATAAGTATATGCTTTAAAATATTAAGGGATATACCCTTCTTTTTTTTTTTAAAACAAGTTTTATTAAAAGTTTCAACAACAAACAAACCATTACATATTAAATCTTTCCCTGTCTTTCTACAATAATTTCCCCAATATTCTCATAAAACACAAACAAACACAAACAAACATAAAAAAAAATCTTTTAGTAAAGTACCTTGGCCCCAGTTACCTCTCTTTGCATGGGCTAAAATAATAGCACATATCACTCTTCACATTTCTATCTTATTTAATCCATCTTAATTAAATCATTAAATTTGTATCTTTTGCCCATTCATTTATCCCTCTATCTCTTCTTATAATAAAAAAAAAAAATTTCTCCTGAAATCACTAATCAGAGTATGATGCCTTTCTATCCTCCCCCTAAGTTAGTAAAATTAACATTCAGCATAACAAATACCCAATTTGGTTCTGCTTGGTACATTCTATCCACCAAAAATGTTTAAATACATTGTATCCTCCTTTCCTTCGATATTTTATTACATTTTAAAAATCAATCATTATTAAAAACTTCAACATTTTAATTTCTTATTAAATCTTAAACCATTCTAATTTACTATTTCAAATATAAATGTTACAATACCATCTTCTGTACCTTAGCAGAATCTTTCTTACAGAAAATTATATTTCATCCTTTGTCTCTAAAAAAAATCCCTCTTCTCCCATCCAATTTTAAAGCTTTGAGGCTTTTCTCCGCCTTTCCCCTTTCTTTCTTCCCCCACCAAATCTTCCTAGCCCCCCTTCTTCTTCTAACCTCTGCCTTGCTGGGATCCCTTCTCTGTTGTGTTCCCTTTTTCTCTTGTTTGTTATCATTATATTTACTTTGCATCATATTTTTCTCTTTCTCAAATGTTTTTTTAGATCTTAAGTCCTTCATTTTCCTTGTTCTCTTCCTTCCTTCTTCCTTAGATAAGTTTTGGGATTCAATGAAGATGGCGTCTTCGTCTCTTCCTTGTTGTTCTTCTTCCGTTTCCATCTGTTCCATTGTCTGTTGGTAATTGACCAGCGCCATTTCTAGAAATAGAAAAGCTTTTTCCATGCCATCTTTGCAGGCTGCTTTTGTTTGCTCATATTCATCCCTCAGGTCTTCAAAAAGGAAAGCCATTATAAATAAATCTTTTCTTTTCTTTATTCCTCTTTCTTCTTACACCAACCAAATATTCCGAGAGAAAGGCAAAACAATCCCAAAATCCACAATCCTCAATAAATCCAAGCAAGCCAAAATTCCCCCTTCCTCTTCCAGGGGTGGTATCAAACAAATAAAAAAAAAGAATCCAAGTCTATATTTTAAAGCCTTATTAAGATTGTATTTCTGTCCTCAAGTCTTCAAGGCATCTCCTCCAACAAGATCCAAATTTATATATTTTCTTTATCCTCTCCCTTCCGGCTTAATTCCGTCGGGAGGGAGAGTAAACTTTCCCTTCAGCACCTCAAAATAGCCGCTTTTTTTTCTCTTGTGGAAGAAATCATCAGAAAACCATCTTTTCCAGGAATTAAATTAGATAAATCTCAAAGCCCTGGGTCGACCAAGAAGAACTTTCACTTTCAATAACTTTCTCTTCTTCCTCCTGCGCATACTTGCCCGGCTGTCAACTTCTTTGTGGCGGCCATTGCGGACCGCCGCTGCACCGTCCTGGTAACAGGGGGTTCTGCCGGCCAGGGAGGGGGTCTGCAACACCCCCAAACCCTTCCTCCGGATCCCCCTTACCTTCAGCTACCCCTGCAGGGCAGCCTTGCTCCGCACCCGTCCGGGTCGGAGCCCCAAAACGGCTAGCGCGGCAGGGATCGCGCAGCTTCGCGAATCCCTACCGCTCGCGAAGCCGACAAACCGGAAACCCCCTGGATATACCCTTCTAAATATCTAATTTCCTCCTTCAAAATATGAGCTTAGAATATTTTTGTCTTTATGAAATTGGGGGGGGGGGTTTGCTTAAAGCTCAGCTCAATCATACTCAGTGAATATAAAACTAAGAAACTTCTTTCAAAATTCCATTGAGCTCTTCTTTTCTCAAGTGGAAAGAGAAGCAGCTGGGAATTAAAATGTAACTGTTTTCTAATCCAGGTGGTAACAGCACCATTTGGCCATGCCCAACTTTGATCTTAAAACAGGAGAGTTCATTTATCAATGTAGTAATCAGCGCCAATTAGTAAAATTTAGTAAGTACCATATTTATGCCATATCTCAACATTTTATTTAGAAATACTTCAGTAAATATAAATAACTTAGTGTATTATAAGCACTTGTAGAACATATATGAGTATTTATTTCTAGATATCATTCCCATTCATCTGGAATCATCAGCATTTTACTTACAGAATGATTTCAGATATATTAAGAACATCAATTATTTCAGCAGCATCTTCATGAAGGAAAGAGGAAGTGACAAAAGTAATGTACTGATATGACACAAACTCTACCCTTCTGTAAATGTGTTGCGACTGCTTCTCTGTATAAAACAATTAATATTGTTTTCATCACTTTCACAACAGCAGTGGATTCTGAGAATGCCTAGGTATTTCTCTGTAGATTGGGGTTATCATTGGCCATAAATAGTGACCTGGGAATGTATAGAAGTTTGAGATCCATTAAGTTAAACAAACCCTTTTTACAGCTCCTCCACCAACATGTTTCAGTTTACGAACTTCTCTTTTTATAGCCTTGCAGGACAACCATGGTGAGCAGTTCTTCATAGTTCCTAATTTGAAGTAGCCATGTGGACAGAAATTTTGCTCAATGTTGGATTCTCCATAGGAAAAATACATATTGCCGAGATATTGGTAGAGAAACAAGATCACAAGCAGCACAGTTAAAAACAAAAGCAAGGCTAAAAGGACCAGCTTTTGCTTAATATCACTTTTTAAATCACAAGCCTTTTTTGTCCATGTTGTAACTATCATGTTTCATAACTTCTGAAAAATAAACAGTAACAAATTATTAATTGAACATAAGAAAGCAGCAAAAGGAGTGATGGCCAAGCTGAATATTTCAGAATTATTTTATTTTTGTGCATAGCAATTCTATGGTCTCAAAAATATGAAATGTACATATAAAATGAGAATGTTAAGGTGATATATTTATTTTCATAAATCATGATATACTGAAACAATTCTGCATATATGGGGAAAATATGAATTGATCCAATTTACTCAAATGGTAGATACACTATTTGCATCTGTTTACTGACTGGTATGAGATTCAATACTTATTTTAAAAACTCAAATAATTTCAAATTATGTTTGCTTTGCTGAAGCAAAATATCCCACTGCCTTCTGGAGAACATGGGAAGGGAACATACAAGGGGATAAATGTACACACCACTTATGGATCTAGGGAAAAAAAGCAGAAGATTGTTCATGACTTGGTTCTGCTCTTCAATGACACAAGGTCTTTACTATATTTCTTTGCGAATATCTTATAGGTATCCTGATACCTAACAATAAAGATTATTTGACCATCAAATTCTATGGATCTCCACCAGAAATCATCAATGAATGTTTTCATCATTGGTATTGCCCAAATTGCAGTATTTTAAGTCCTGTTGGCTTTAATGATTTCAATTGGAAATATTTATTATCAATAGCACTGTATATGGCTATTGACAATAAGTCCATCTGAGTTCACTATGGCTTTCAATTAAATTTTAAAATTTTATAAGCTTTTAAGTGTATAATGAAAACAAAAGAAACAAATTGATGGAAGCCACGTTTTTTTTAAAAGTCCGATTATTTCTGAGAGTTTTGAGTGTTTTCACAACTTCTGTTTACAGGAAATCCATCTTCTTGTGGATAGTTTAATATAGAGAATGTAATGAAATATATTTCTACTGATATGCCTAAATTAATGTATAGATCTTAAAAAATCAGATAGGATTTGGAAAAACAACGGAGTAAAAAAATTTTTTTAATCTTTCTGGTTTGAATCATCTCAGAAATTCTAGGCAGAATGAAATGAATATTATTCCATAGATTTATCCTATTGTACTGGGCTTACCTGTTTCCTATTTTACAGCTTATACACCACTACGCTATCGGCATAATACAATCCCAGTGTCCTCTGCTTTGAGACACATGAGTTATTTCTTCGTTATTTGCACATAGAGATAAAACAGGGTAGAGTGATATATTCCCTTGCTTTAATCTCTCAGATTCTGATTGAAATGTAAAGCCTTTATGTGCTGAAGCTGACAGAAAAAACATATCTTTCAATTTGCTTAACAAGAAAATTTGGAAAACTAGAAATATAGTTGGTTGTCTTTTTCTACTATAACTCTAACCCTAACTTGTGTGTGAAGACAACTTTGATCATTTTGTACATTTAAGTGCTTCTAGATAGATATTTGAATGAATATATATGCATTGTATTACCATAGCTTCTCAGAGAATCCAAATAACAGCCCTTTACTCACTACATCATGCTTTGTCTCCTTTATGTTTAAAATCTTAATTTTTTGGACATAAAAATGCAAAATACAAATGCTTAACTAAAAAGTGTACAATAAAGTGCATTCAGAAAGTATAAGACCCCCTTCACTTTTGTTAATTTTGTTATGCTGCAGCCTGATCCTACAGTTGTTGAAGTTCATTTTTTCTCAATCTACATTCACCACACCACAATGACAAAGTGAAAACAGAATTTTAGAACTTAGTCTGTAAAATTATTAAACAGAAAAAAACTGAAATATTGAATTGGGCAAAATATTCAGACCCTTCACTCAGTGCTTTGTTGAAGCACCTTTGGCAATAATTACAGCTATTGTGTTCAGTAATAATTACAGCTACTGTGTTCAGTAGGCAAGAACCAGACCAAAATAGTTACAACAGCATTTATTGACTCAAACTGGAACTGAAAGCAAATGCCTGTAATTTATACTCTAGGCCCACAGAGCCTTAACCAATCACAATGCTTGAAAAAGCCCGCCTAAATATGAATGTTCTAAGTTTCCCTCCAAAACAGTTGGAGTTAACAGTTAGGGTGATCTAAAGGTTAGCTTCACTTTAGCAGGGCTTAACACAACTACAGATATATTAAATACATAACAGTCTTGAGTCTTCTGGGATAGTATGTGACAAGCTTTGCACACCTGGATTGAGAGATTTTCTGCCATTCTTCCTTGCAAATCCTCTCAAGCTCAGTCAGACTGTATGGCAACTGTCAGTAGACAGCCATTTTTAGGTCCCTCCAGAGATGATCAATAGGGTTCAAGTCAGAGCTTGGCCATCCTAGGACATTCAAAGAGTTGTCCCTAAGCCATTTCTGTGTTATCTTGGCTGTGTGCTTAGGATTCTTGGAAAGTGAAGTCTGAGGCCCTGGGCATTGTGGAAAAGGTTTTCATTAAGGATATCCCTGTACTTTGCTCCATTCAGCTCTCCCTCAACTCTGACTAGTCTTCCACCCCCAAAGCATGATGCTGCCACCACCATGCTTTACTGTTGGGATGATATGGGCAGGTGATGAGAGGTGCCTGGTTTTCTCCAGACATAACACTTAGAATTGAGGCCAAACAGTTTAATCTTGGTTTCATCAGACCAAACAATTTTGTTCCTCACAACCTGAAAGTCAGGTGCTTTTTTGCAAACTCCAAGCGGGCTTTCGCATGTTTGGCACTGAGGAGAGGCTTCCATCCAGCCACTCTGCCATAAAGCCCAGGTTGGTGGAAAGCTGCAATGATGGCTGTCCTTCTGTCCCATATCCACAAAGGATCTCTGCAGCTCAGAGTGACCATCGAATTCTTTGTCACTTCTCTTACTAAGGCTCATCTCCCGATTGCTCATTTGACCAGATGACCAGCTCTTAGAAGAGTCCTGATTGTGCCAAACTTCTTCCATTTGAGAATTATGGAGGCTATTATGCTCTTAGGAAACTTCAGTGCAGCAGAAATTTTATTGTAGCCTTCCCCGAATCTGTGCCTTGCAATAATCCCATTTCTCAGGTCTGTAGGCAATTCTTTTGACTTTGTGGCTTTTTCTCTCCTAAAGTATGCAGTATCGGCTGTGAGGCCTTCTATAGGGAGGTGTGTGCCTTTCCAAATCATGTCCAATCAATTTAATTTACCACAGGTTGACTCCAATCAAGGTGTAGAAATATGTCAGCAACATCAAGAGAAATGGGAGGCACCAGTGCTAAATTTCAATTATTGCAAAGGGTCTGAATACTTAGGCTAATATGATATTTCAGTTTTTTTTCTTTTTAATAAATTTACTGACATTTCTAAAATAGCTTTCACTTTGTCATAATGGGATACTGAGCATAGATTAATGAGAAAAAATGAATCTCAACCACTGCAGGACCAGGCTGCAACATAACAAAATTGACAAAAGTGAAGGGGTCTGAATAGTTTCTGAATGCACTGCATATTCCTTAGATCTTTGCTCCCTTTAACCTTCCACCAATCTTTCCCCATAACTCCTAATATGTAGTGAAGTCTTATTTTCACTCCATTTTTATACTAAAACATGCCTCTATATTTTCCTGGGTATGTACAGAAGGAAGCAAAAATAGTCATGAAAAACATTATTACTGAAAGCTTGTGTGACAGTTACATGAAACAATTCATAACTTTTCCCAAACCTTTGCTCTTTAGGGAGATTTGTTTAGACAGATTTCTTTTATATATTAACTTCTTTAGCTGATTTCGTTATTAAAGTTTTATTGCTGCTACCAATCTGGGCTTTGTAATAATGCTATCATTCATTATTACTAAGAAATCCAAATATCCATATTGTGATAGGAAGCGTTCTTCAAAAGAATGCCAACGTTATGACTTTTAAGTTATGTCAGAATTCCAACATTTGTGTCTGTGTGCATTGATATACCTGTTGCACATGCCTGCTAATAAAATGAGTTTGAATAACTATATTATGCTATTGTTGCCAAAACAGCACATATGTACTGTGCACATTTTGCCTATTAAGATCAAGACATTTAATATGGAATGGAAAGCACTATGGTTCAAATTGAGTTAGAAGCAAAAACCGCGCTGTAATTATAGGAACTCTAAATTTAAGCATTATTATTTGTATTGTTTCAATGAAAGTACAGTCATCAATTGCTTTAGCAATATAGCAAAAGAAATCCTTTTCACTTACTTTTTATGGGATGTCACCACAAAAAAAGTGTAATATACTAAATAAATGTGTCAAATCATTAACAATACTATGGATTGTGAGTTTATTTTGTAAAGTATTAATTGAAATGTATAATTAAAATTGTACTGCAAATGTACAGGTAATCCTCAACTTACAGCAGTTCATTTAGTGATGTTCAAAATTAAAACAGCACTGAAAATTGTGGTTTATGACTGGTTTTTCACAATTACAACCTTTGCAGCATCCCCTTTGCAGCATCCCCTTTGCAGTTCATATTTATGACCATTGCTATGTCCCAAGGTCATATTGAAGGAGTATAGTGATCAAACTAATATTGACTATTTCTTTTATTATGAATTTCTTATGCTACTATATATTTGTTATTGATTAAACCAATATTTGCTGTTTGCTTCTGATATGATATACTGCTAGAAATCATTTGTTATGAATTAACCTTTGTTATTGGCTCCTGCTTATATTGTCAGAAATTATTAAGAACTAATTCTAGCTTAGTAATTTGTAACCTTGATACTAGTTGGCTTGTTATCTTGCTTCTGTCTCTCTCTAGGCACATCCTTGAAAACATAAAATTGTTACCCAGAAATATCAGGCCCCATAGATAAAGGAACCAGAGTAGGGAGTGAAAGCATTCTGCTGAATAAACAATTTGGCTAAGGAGGGGGAAGAACCCTATCTGACACAGGCCTATAGGGATGCTCCAAAGACACAGAGGGCAGAGACAGGGGTCTGAACATATAAGCTATTCCTTACATGCTTTTGTCTATGTTTTGGAAATAGTATTCAGCCAGCTTTTGCTTTGGCCAAAAATTAAATGCTGTTATTTTTTGCAAGCCTCGCTTCGAGTCTCATTCTCTTTGGCATCTCAGTGGCTCGAGGAAACTTCTGGGACCTTACAATGTGATCCCCTTTTGAGGTCTTTAACAAGCAAAGTCAATGGAGGAACCAGCTTCACTTCACAACCATGTTATTAGCTTAATTTCATTTTTTCATTAATGTATTTTGTCAAGTGATTATAAGATAACAGTTATAAGTATAAACATAGTTATGAATACATGAAATGGATACATAGAAGAAAAATAAAAGAAAAAAATAAAAGAAACAATAGGGCAGGGACTGTAGGCACATTGGTGCACTTATGCACGCCCCCTACAGACCTCTTAGGAAAGGGGTGAGGTCAATAGTAAACAGTCTAAGGTTAAAGTTTTGGAGGTTTGGGGAAGAAACCACAGAGTCAGGTAGAGTATTCCAGACATTGACCACTCTGTTGCTGAATTCATACTTCCTGCAATCAAGTTTGGTGCAATTAACCTTGAGTTTGTATCTATTGTTTGCCTTTGTGTTGTTATGGTTGAAGCTGAAGTATTCATTGACAGGTAGGACATTGCAATGTATGATTTTATATACTTTACTTAGATAGGACCGAAGGTTGCGTAGTTCTAGGTTGTCTAGGTCTAGAATTTCTAAGTCTGGTGGCATAAGATATTCTACTACGAGTAGAGTGGAGAACTCTTCTCATGAAATATTTCTGGATGTTCTCAACTGTGTTAATATCAGATACGTAATGTAGGTTCCAGACTGATGAGCTGTATTCAAGTATTGGTCTAGCAAATGTTTTGTATGCTCTAGTTAGTAGTGTGATATTACCAGAGAAAAGGCTACGTAGGATTAGGTTAACAACTCTTAATGCCTTTTTGGCTATGTAGTTACAGTGGGCTCTAGCACTTAGGTCATTAGAGATGAATACTCCAAGGTCCTTGACAGAGTTTGAATCATCAACAAGGTCTTGACTATTCAGCTTGTATTTTATTTTCTGATTCTTTTTGCCAATATGTAGGGCAGAGCATTTGTTGAGATTTGAAGTTGCCATTTGTTTGACCATTCTGATACATAGTTGAGGTCTTTTTGAAGGATAGCTTTACCTCATCAGCGAAGAGAATGCAGTTGCTATTAATAAGATCACA